TGGCAGGTGAAAAAAATGTCTTCCAAGAATAAATTATGAGCATTTGCATGGAAGAGTCCATAAGAACCGGCCAACTTTCACTAATGTTAAGTATATTTTTGATGTCTTGCATATGGCTAATTTTCTTTTAGAGTCTGATTTTCCCAGAACATACATCCACATTCATTTTCTAGGTGGGGATACTTTCCTGAATCCCTCTAGGATGCGAAACACTAGGGGTCTTCAAAGCCATCATGGAACATGAACATTTTCATTTCATTTTCCACACACTTTTTGAAGCACCCTTGTACACCCACATAAGTATTCCCTATTAAGTTTTCCCAATCTCTGTGTCATGCTTCTATATCTTCCTGAAAATACAAAATTCCACCCCACATGCACTCTTTAATTTTTTAATTTATTTTAAAGGCAGAGGAGGAGAGTTTTTTCCCTAACAAAAAGATTTATTTATTTATTTATGACTCAGAATTACAAAGTAAGAGGGAGATTTTCCATCTGCTGGTTCACTCCCCCAAATGGCTGCAATGGCCAGGACTGAGCCAGGCTGAAGCCAGAAGCCAAGAGCTTCTTTTTTTTTAATGATGTCATATAATATATTATTGAAATTATTTTTTTAGATTCTTCTTTTTGTTTTTTTTTTTAGTTTTTTTATTTAGAAAATATAAATTTCCAAAGTACAGTTTATGGATTACAATGGCTTCCCCCCCCCCAATAATTTCCCTCCCATTCGCACCCCTCCCATCTCCCACTCCCTCTCCCATTCCATTCACATCAAGATTCATTTTCAATTATCTTTATATACAGAAAATCAATTTAGTATATATTAAGTAAAGATTTCATCAGTTTGCACCCACACAGAAACACAAAGTGTAAAAATACTGTTTCAGTACTAGTTATAGCATTACTTCACATTGGACAACACATTAAGGACAGATCCCACATGAGAAGTAGGTACACAGTGATCCTGTTGTTGACTTAACAATTTGACACTCTTGTTTGTGGCGTCAGTAATCTCCCTAGGCTCTCGTCATAAGTTGCCAAGGCTATGGAAGCCTTTTGAGTTCACTGACTTCAATCTTATTCCGACAGGGTCATAGTCAAAGTGGAAGTTCTCTCCTCCCTTCAGAGAAAGGTACCTCCTTCTTTGATGGCCCCATTCTTTCCACTGGGATCTCACTCGCAGAGATCTTTCATTTAGGTCTTTTTTTTTTCCCAGAGTGTCTTGGCTTTCCATGCCTAAAATACTCTCATGATCTCTTCAGCCATATCCAAATGCCTTAAGGGCTGATTCTGAGGCCAGAGTGCTATTTAGGACATCTGCCATTCTATGAGTCTGCTGTGTACCCCACTTCCCATGATGGATCGTTCTCTCCCTTTTTGATTCTATCAGTTAGTATTAGCAGACACTAGTCTTGTTTTTGTGATCCCTTTGACTCGTAGACCTATCAGTGTGATCAATTGTGAACTTGGAAAATTGATCACTTGGACTAGTGAGATGGCATTGGTACATGCCACCTTAATGGGATTGTATTGGAATCCCCTGGCATGATTCTAATTCCACCATTTGGAGCAAGTCCGATTGAGCATGTCCCAAATTGTACATCTCCTCCCTCTCTTATTCCTACTCTTACATTTAACAGGAATCACTTTTAGTTAAAATTTAAGCACCTAAGAATAACTGTGTGTTAATTACAGAGTTCAACCAATAGTACTAGAACAAAACAAAGAAAAATACTAAAATAGATAAAGTATTACATTGTACATCAACAGTCAGGACAAGAGCTGATCAAGTCACTGTTTCTCATAGTGTACATTTCACTTCAACAGGTTTCCCCTTTAGTGCTCAGTTAGTTGTCGCCGATCAGGAGAACATATGATATTTGTCCCTTTGGGACTGGCTTAATTCACTCAGCATAATGTTTTCCAGATTCCTCCATCTTGTTGCAAATGACCGGATTTCATTTTTTTGACTGCTGTATAGTATTCTATAGAGTACATGTCCCATAATTTCTTTATCCAGTCTACTGTTGATGGGCATTTGGGTTGGTTCCAGGTCTTAGCTATTGTGAATTGAGCTGCAATAAACATTAAGGTGCAGACAGCTTTTTTGTTTGCCAATTTAGTTTCCTTTGGGTAAATTCCAAGGAGTGGGATGGCTGGGTTGTATGGTAGGGTTATATTCAGGTTTCTGAGGACTCTACAGACTGACTTCCATAGTGGCTTAACCAGTTTGCATTCCCACCAACAGTGGGTTAGTGTCCCTTTTTCCCCACATCCTCTCCAGCATCTATTGTTGGTACATTTCTGAATGTGAGCCATTCTAACCGGGGTGAGGTGAAACCTCATTGTGGTTTTGATTTGCATTTCCCTGATTGCTAGTGACCTTGAACATTTTTTCATGTGCCTGTTGGCCATTTGGATTTCCTCTTTTGAAAAATCTCTGTTGAGGTCCTTGGCCCATCTCTTAAGTGGGTTGTTTGTTTTGATGTTGTGGAGTTTCTTGATTTCTTTGTAGATTCTGGTTATCAACCCTTTATCTGTTGCGTAGTTTGCAAATATTTTTTTCCCATTCTGTCGGTTGCCTCTTCACTCTCCTGACTGTTTCTTTTGCAGTACAGAAACTTCTCAATCTGATGCAATCCCAATAGTTAATTTTGGCTTTGACTGCCTGAGCCTCCAGGGTCTTTTCTAGGAAGTCTTTGCCGGTACCTATATCCTGCAGGGTTTCTCCAATGCTCTCTAATAATTTGATGGTGTCAGGTCATAGATTTAAGTCTTTAATCCATGTTGAGTGGATTTTTGTGTAAGGTGAAAGGTAGGGGTCTTGCTTCATGATTCTACATGTGGAAATCCAATTTTCCCTTCACCGTTTATTGAATAGACTGTCCTTACTCCAGGGATTAGTTTTAGATCCTTGATCAAATATAAGTTGGCTGTAGATGTTTGGATTGATTTCTGGTGTTTCTATTCTGTTCCATTGGTCTATCCATCTGTTTCTGTACCAGTACCATGCTGTTTTGATTACAACTGCCCTGTAGTATGTCCTGAAATCTGGTATTGTGATGCCTCCAGCTTTGTTTTTGTTGTACAGGATTGCTTTAGCTATTCGAGGTCTCTTGTGTCTCCATATGAATTTCAGCATCATTTTTTCCAGATCTGAGAAGAAGGTCTTCGGTATCTTGATTGGTATTGCATTGAATCTATAAATTGCTTTTGGGAGAATGGACATTTTGATGATATTGATTCTTCCAATCCATGAGCATGGAAGATTTTTCCATTTCTTGGTATCCTCTTCTATTTCTTTCTTTAAGGTTTTGTAATTTTCATCGTAGAGATCTTTAACGTCCTTGGTCAAGTTTATTCCAAGGTATTTGATTGTTTTTGTAGCTATTTAGAATGGGATTGATCTTAGAAGTTCTTCCTCAGCCGTGGCATTGCCTGTGTATACAAAGGCTGTTGATTTTTGTGCATTGATTTTATACCCTGCTACTTTGCCAAACTATTCTATGAGCTCCAATAGTCTCTTGGTAGAGTTCTTTGGGTCCCCTAAATAAAGAATCATATCATCTGCAAAGAGGGATAGTTTGAGTTCTTCCTTCCCAATTTGTATCCCTTTAATTTCTTTTTCTTGCCTAACGGCTCTGGCTAAAACTTCCAGAACTATACTGAATAGCAGTGGAGAGAGTGGGCATCCCTGTCTGGTACCAGATCTCAGTGGAAATGCTTCCAACTTTTCCCCATTCAATAGGATGTTGGCCATGGGTTTTTCATAAATTGCTTTGATTGTATTGAGGAATGTTCCTTCCATACCCAGTTTGCTTAAAGTTTTCATCATGAAAGGGTGTTGTATTTTATCAAATGCTTTCTCTGCGTCTATTGAGATAATCATATGGTTTTTCTTCTGCAGTCTGTTAATGTGGTGTATCACGTTGATTGTTTTGCGAACATTGAAACATCCCTGCATACCAGGGATAAATCCCACTTGGTCTGGGTGGATGATCTTTCTGATGTGTTGTTGCATTCTATTGGCCAGAATTTTATTGAGGATTTTTGCATCTATGTTCATCAGGTATATTGGCCTGTAATTCTCTTTCAATGCTGCATCTTTTTCCAGCTTAGGAATTAAGATGATGCTGGCTTCATAGAAAGAATTTGGGAGGATTCCCTCTTTTTTGATTGTTATGAATCATTTGAGAAGAATTGGAGTTAGTTCTTCTTTAAATGTCTGGTAGAATTCAGCAGTGAATCCATCTGGTCCTGGGCTTTTCTTTGTTGGGAGGGCCTTTATTACTGTTTCAATTTCTGTCTCAGTTATGGGTCTGTTTAGGTTTTCGATGTCTTCCTGGTTCAATTTAGGTAGGTTGCATGTGTCCAGGAATCTATCCATTTCTGATAGGTTTCCCTGTTTGCTGGCATACAAGTCCTTGTAGTAATTTCTGATGATTCTTTTTATTTCTGTGGTGTCTGTTGTTACGTTTCCTTTTTCATCTCTGATTTTATTGATTTGGGTCTTTTCTCTTCTTTTTTTAGTTAGTTGGGCCAATGGGGTGTCAATTTTGTTTATTTTTTTCAAAAAACCAGCTCCTCGTTTGGCTGATTTTTTTTGTAATGTTTTTTTCGATTCAATCCTGTTGATTTCTTCTCTGATTTTAATTATTTCTCTTCTCCTACTAGATTTGGGTCTGGTTTGCTGCGGATTTTCTAGGTCTTTGAGATGCATTGAAAGCTCATTTATTTGGTGCCTTTCCAATTTCTTGATGTAGGCACCTATTGATATAAACTTTCCTCTTAACACTGCTTTTGCTGTATCCCATAAGTTTTTTTTTTTTTTGAAGTTCATTTGCTTTAATGTTGTACAAAAAAAATGAGTAGAACCAAAAGTAAATAAACATTATCACATTTGTTTACACCACTATCTAGTTCTTCATATTAACTTTACTATTCAAATAGAAAGTTAAGTGGCAACTTAGGGAATGGGAAAAATAAAACCAAAAACCTCTTCTACCACATTTATTCTTCTACACCGTGTACAGCTGTGCTCACAGAGACGGCTTCTTTTACTTATCCACTGTGTGTAATTCAGTTGTATATAAAATTGAACCTGCTCAACAGCTGAGGGAGACTAGAAATGATGGGTCCATATCCTGGTGCGTTGTCATACAATTCAAACAATGGTGCAGCTACCAGCTTGTAATTTTTAGGGACTGCAAACAAGGCTTTCTCTTGAAGTTGAACCAGAAACAACTTCTTATGTTCCTTAGGCTTTGTAATATGTGCAGGAATATATGGATACTGAGGAGGTTCAAAATTTGGTCTCCACCAGTTACCAATGCAGTCATCAATGACCCAGTCTTGCAGAACTCCATCTTGGTGGCCTAGTATCTCTGTCATTAAGCGTTTTAGTCCTTCAACTTCATCTTCTCCTGGGTTAAGTTCACCACCAGGTAATTTGAAGAAAGTCATTCCCAGTTGTAGCAGTAACACATGGGGTAGCCGGTGCTCGTGTACAATCAGAACCCCTTCTACAGTCCTCCTCATTCCAATTTTATCAAATTCTTCTCGCATGCACTGAAATCTGGCTGCAACAGAACTGTCCTTCTCATAGAGAGGCTCTTTTGTACCAAAAGTATAATTGGTAAGAGGATAAAGGTTGATGGTGCGCTCCAGGGTGAGGGGCTTGGTCTGCTGGATGTACTTGTTGCCGAACTGATTGACCCCGCGGGGCCAGCCGGTCTGCGAGCGATTGGGCGGTACCACCGACATGCTGGCAACCTCTGACTCTGGTGGTGAGCAGAAATCGGGAGGTGAGGGAAATTTTTTCCCCCCGTGCAGGCAGCGGTTATCTGCGACCCGCTCAGTAGCCGCCGCCCGCCATTAACATGAGAGCGCAAGAGTATATCCCACAAGTTTTGTTATGTTGTGCTGTTATCCTCATTTACTTCCAGAAAGTTTTTGATTTCTCTTTTGATTTCTTCTATGACCCATTGTTCATTCAGGAGCATGTTGTTCAATCTCCATGTGTTTGCATATGTTCTAGGGATTCCTGAGTTGCTAATTTCCAACTTCATTCCTTTATGGTCTGAGAAGCTGCATTGCATGATTCTAATTCTTTTGAATTTGCTGAGACTTGCTTTATGGCCTAGTATGTGGTCAATCCTAGAGAAGGTTCCATGTACTGCTGAGAAGAATATAAATGCTTTATGTGTAGGATGAAAAGTTCTGTATATATCTGTTAGATCCATTTGGGCTATAGTGTCGTTTAAATCTACTGTCTCCTTGTTGATCTTCTGTCTTGTTGATCTGCCTATTTCTGAGAGTGGAGTATTGAAATCCCCCAGTACTATTGTATTGGAGTTTAAGTCTCCCTTTAAGTCCCTTAACAAATCTTTTAAATAAACCAGTGCCCTGTAATTAGGTGCATATACATTGATAATTGTTATATCTTCCTGTTGAATTGATCCCTTAATCATTATATAACATCCCTCTTTGTCTCTCTTAACAGTTTTTGTGTTAAAGTTTAGGTTGTCCAATATTAAGATGGCTACACCTGCTCTTTTTTCATTTCTTTTGGCATGGTATATCTTTTTCCAGCCTTTCACTTTCAGTCTGTATGCATCTTTGTTGGAAAGATGTGTTTCTTGTAAGCAGAAAATAGATAGGTTTTGTTCCTTTACCCAATCAGCCAATCTGTGTCTTTTAACTGGAGAGTTGAGGCCATTAATGTTTAATGTGACTATTGATAAGTAGTAACTTTGCCCTGCCATTTGCCAAAAATATTTTCTAATATATGCTTTGAATTCCCTGTGATCCTTTGCTGTGAAGTTTTCTTCCTTTACCTTTTTTCATATTGATGACCGTGTTTCTGTGTGGGTAACACATCTTTAAGCATCTTTTGCAGGTCTGGATGAGTGGCGACAAATTCTTTCAATTTCTGTTTGCTATGAATGGTCTTTATTTCACCTTCATTCACAAATGAGAGCTTTTCAGGATATAATATTCTGGGCTGCCAGTTTTTCTCTCTTAGTACCTGGGCAATGTCTCGCCATTCCCTTCTAGCTTGTAGGGTTTCTGATGAGAAGTCTATTGTGAGTCTAATTGGAGATCCTCTGAGAGTAATCTGACGTTTCTCTCTTGCACATTTTAGGATCTTTTCTTTATGTTTCACTGTGGTGAGTTTGATTACATAGTGAGGATCTCTTTTGGTCATGTTTACTAGGGGTTCTATGAGCTTCCTGTACTAGGATGTCTCTGTCCTTCTCCAAACCCAGGAAGTTCTCTGCAAGTATCTCACTAAAAAGGCCTTCTAATCCTTTCTCCCTCTCCATGCCTTCAGGAACTCCTAGAACCCAAATGTTGGTTTTTTAAATAGTATCCTGTAGATTCCCAACAATATGTTTTAGATTTCTAATTTCCTCTTCTTTTCTTTGGTTTGACTGTATGCTTTCCTGTGCTCTGTATTCTAAGTCCGATATTCTCTCCTCTGATTCACTGACTCTATTTTTAAGGCTCTCTAATGTGTTTGTCATTTGATCTGTTGAGTTCTTCATTTCATTTTGATTTCTCTTTGCTATCACACTTTCCTGTTCTACTAGTTTCTGTGTTTCATTTTGATTCCTCCTTAAGATTTCATTTTCTCAAAGGAGATTTTCTATCCTGTCCAGTAAGTAATTCTGTATCTCAAGCATTTGTTTTTGAAGACTTCTAATTGTTCTTATCATAAATTTGAAATCTGTATCTTGAATTTCTTCCATCTCATCATTTTCATAATCTTGGCTTGGGGTGTCTTGTTCATTTGGGAGTGTCATCGTTTCTTCCTTGTTTTTGTTTCCTTGGTTTTTGCATTTGTTGCTTGGCATCGTAGAGATATCTTTGGATTCTTCTTCCCTCGCTGTGGTGTTTTTTCTTGTTAGACTATGGCTGTATTAAGTGGACTGTCTGCTTTTGATGGGGCCTTAGAGGCTTGAGATGGGTGAGGCATGAGAGCTCTGTTTGGTTCCTCAGGGTTAAGGGTGTGCCAAAGGTGACACTCCCAGGTTAGGCATGGTAAATCTCTCTCTCTTTCTTTCTTTTTTTGATTCAAAAGGGAAGTAATTCCACACAGCTGAATGGAATTGGAGGTAGTTAGCAGGCGAATGATATACTCACAGGAGCCAGAGATTGGAAGCTCTTTCCCAAGGACCACACAGGGAATCTGTTCTGCCCTCCGTGTGGGCTCAAATTCACCTGCAGTCTCCCACTGGATTGCCAAGGTTACCGAATTGTAGTATCTCTGGAGAGTAGTCACGTGAATTCTGTGAGTTCTCTCCCCCACCGTCTCTTTTTTCACAGTCTCAGTTCATTAGCACCACACATTCACTAGGTCCTAATCTCCTGTTATTTCACCCCGCCCAGAGTCAGGTTTTTCTGCTAGGCTGAGGGCCGGTGGAGACCTGAGGTCACCCTGCTTATGACATATGTCCAAAATGGTGCCTGCTCTTTGTCTTGCTTGCCTTTAAGAGGTGAGCGGAGAGAGAGAAACTCGTGTCTGTATCAGTCACTTTTTTTTTCCTCTCTCTTCTAGTTAGCCTGGTGAACTTTTCCCCATGGGGTTTCATGCCTCATTCCCTCTAGTCTCCTCTTTCTGCTTGCCTGCCGGTGTCTCGGGCTATTGAGGTTCGGCTCACCTCGCATTCCAGCGCTGGTGTATTGAGTCTGTCGCTGGTGTCCCAAACTGTGGGCTCCCATGCTCTCCACGCAGGTCCACTGTGAATCACTAGTTCTGGAAGAGTTTCCTCTGCTGTTTCTTCCCCTACTCTTCCTTGAACCTGCAGTATCTCCACTTTTATTAAACTGTCTCTTCCCAGACTATCAGTGTACTCCCTTCCTATTCCACCATCTTGCCGCTCTCCCACTAGGTCTCCCATGTCAATGCAGAGGCCCAAACACTTGGGTCATTCTCTGCTGCTTTCCCAGGTGCATTAGCAGGGAGCTGGATCAGAAGTTGAGCAACTAGGACTCAAACCGGTGCTCATATGGAATGCTGGCACTGCAGACAGAAGCTTAACCCACTTGTGCCACAGCGCTGGCCCCCCATATGCATTCTTACATAGTCCACAGATTTGACAAAATCAATGCTGGTGATGGAACAGCAATGGTATTGTGGACATAATTTTTGGGGCAAATGTGGCTTCCATTCATGGAGAGCTCTTGGATTTCATCAATTTGAAGGCATGCCAATGCAGACAAATGATGCTTTTTGAACACTTATTTACTTGTATATTGTTTTTTTAGACTGACATCTTCAGCAATGTTTTATTACATGGAAACACCTTTGTCAGATTTCAGATTTTTACTTTTCTCAAGCAGCCTTTTATTTTCACACAGGAATGGTTTTAGGGATTTCAACATGTAAGATTTTAATCTTTCAGATTGTGATTTTGGGGATTTTTGACTTTAGGGATTTTGATCATTTGGGATTCCAACATTTGAGATTGTGGCTTTAGGGATAATGATTGACAGACACCCTATGGTAAAGTCCATAGCACCTAAAGAAATGGGCAGACCCTCAAAGAACTTTTTGATTTCTGTAACTAAGTCTCCAGGCCAGAGATCAGAGGCCTAACTGAGCTACAAGTTTCAACCACACAGTATCTCACAGATGAAGAGCTCTCTGACAGAAGGAGAACTGTCAGGTCTTGAAGGAGGACTTTGCACACATGCATCTACTGTGAATCTTCCCCTGAGCCTTCCAGGAAGACCTGTGGCACTGAGGACTGCTAGTCACTTGCTGAAGCTAACTTTAAATCTCAGCTGTCCAGAGCACCACGGGGTTCACCTGTTGGAGAGGGGCTCATGAGAGTTTGCTAATAAAAATTGACAAGATCTGAACCCAGAGCAGTAGTCCTAGTGGACTACTAGTGGACTACATCTCTGGACGTTACTTCTCCATTTCTTGGGTATACCATTGCCAACTCCTCAGCCGTCAGAATCATCCTGGATCTTTGATTTGTGGAGCCAATGAAGTAGCAAATCTCAACCAACCAGATTGACATCTCCTCCAGACCTCCAGACATTTTCTAAAGTCTGCTTTGCTCTCCTGAAATTAAATCCATGTGTGATCTTGATAACCTACACACATAAGTTGAAAAGGACAACAGAATGATCTAGCTGTGTTATGGAAAATAAACAAAAGAAATTAATTCACTCTAACATAAATAGGAAATGCTTGGGCATGCTTGCATTGGAAGTGATAATGGATTAAAAATATGCTTGTCTCATTCATAGAATCATATGTATGTTATAGCTATCAGTAAAATGTAAATGTGTATATGTCATTTTGGCAACTTACATGTCACAAGTGCCGTTACCATCAAAGATGTGATTTTGCAAAATTAGTATTCAACTCCCAATGTACATGGCAGATTTTCTCCTGAAAGATATAAAGAGTATAAAACTATGCAAAATAATCAGCATTTTTGTGAAAAAAATGGAGTTAGGTTTTAGGCTACAAATATCTATAGTGTCATTTGCAACTTGTGCAGGAATAGGATGATTCTCTCTAGATGAGCCTGTCTTGTTGGTGAAATCCCTGACCCTTGTCCAATAAATCCAACAGTACTGGTCAACCATTGCAGCAATCAAAAATGTAACCACAACTTTTCAAAATGTCCCTTGGGGTGGCACCACCCATACTGAACACAAGTGAATGGAGTCAGGGCCATGACCACATCTGACACTCTCCCTCTCCAACAAAGTAGTAAATTGCAAGGATTAGTGAAAAAAAGCAAAGGGGATGATTCCTGATAAAATAAGCTATAGGGTAGCATGAACATTTGTTTTGTTCATTTATGTATTTCAAGGGTCTAGAATTGGGCTTGGCACTTAAGAGACTCAACGCATGTTTGTGGAACAAATGAA